TTTTCCTTCTCTTTATCATTCTAGGCTGCTGTAAATTTTGGCTATTGAGAATAAAGCTGCTATGAAAATGCAAGTGCAAAACTTATATTTTTCTTGGATAAGGTACCTAGGAATGAGGAACTGTGGTTTTAGTAGTAAGAAATATTTATCTTTCCTATGTCAATTACCCTGGAAAAAATGAAAAATACAAACATTTCTTAGTCATATTTCATAATAAAATTTATCAGCACACCTGTTGTGAGATAGTTGAACTCATGCATTTTCCACCTCTGAAGAGTCACACACTATCATACATTCAACGTATTCCAAGATAATGCTTGCTAACATGTAGGAAGATACTGTTCTTTACAAACTTCAATATATTATGAATAAAATGCATTCATATTATATATGAACAAAGAAGTCTTATTGAGAACTCTGTTGTGATTTTCTCTTTAGAGCAAAGGTAAGAGTTGCAAAATCTCTAATTTTAAAAGAGGATGATTTCAACTAGTCCATCCTCAAGGAAATATATTTATAAACTGCCTACATACTTCTTACACTAGTTATGTCTGCTTTAATTAAGGAAGGAAAATGTTCCTCATTTCCCAAGTGAGAAACATTTCCTAAAATCACATCCCCAGGGTTGCTCTTAGTCTAAACTTCCATATAGAAATGTCTGGAATAGAAATTTTTAAATATCAGAATCCAAGTGTGTAAGCTTTCACATTCAGAAGTGCAGAGAATCTCAACATCAACAAACTATATTTCTACAAAAATCAAAATTACAACTTATATATCCCTTATTTAAATAACAGTGATGTCACTTTAGAGTTAACTGTAGGTAATCACTGGATTGTAACGCATGCAGAGATGAAGAAAATTTCAAGTGTTCCTAAATATCATTATAAAAATGAATATTTTACATTATGTAAAATTATGATTATTATGATCTCTAGAGAAAGATATATAAAGATTATGAACAAACTTCAGTAATGACAAAGTAAAATTTTTACCTTCATTTTCAGTTGCTTTCTAAAATTACTAGTTAGTCTCAACCTCATTGAATTAATGAAAATAAAATGTATCCCATGACAGATTTTTGTGGCAAAACCTAGTCCTTTAAAAAACATATGAAACAAAAATAGCACGAGAAGTTTCCGGGTACAAATTATAATATATTATAATATTTAGATCCCCTCAACCAGTTCTTGGAAACTCAACATCATTGTTTGTAAACTAGTCATATAAAATGATTCTAAAATTATAAATGAGTTTACATCGACCAATTGACTCTGACAAGCTGCCATCCCACCACCTACCACAGATAGCATCCAACAGAAGCTTGTGGTGCTTAAAACACATTTCACCACCTGCCAAGGAGGCAGACTCCATGGTGGAGAAGACTGGAGCTGTAAGACACAGGTGACTAAGTGCCACACAGTGGCAGTGGTGCTGGCTAGTGGAGCAGGGGTATGCATTGTGTATCCCCCAGAACCCAAGAAGGCTGCTCTGCCTGCATCAGTGTACCCTTGTATAGCACAGAACTTCCAGAATTTTAGCTTCTGTGGAGTTCTCTGAGGACGAATGCGTGTACTGCCATCAGGCAGTTAGAGGTAAAGACATCAAGATGCTTTCAATCCTGGATCCTGGAGTGAAGAGGCTAAACTTTGTACCCTGATTGTACAGCAGGTTAAATTCTACATACTATCCTCTCTGGAGCTGCTGCCACAACTTCTCCTGGTGGGTGAAGAGTCATCACAGTGCTTTTTCACAGGGGGAATGTAAGAAGGAATGACAGCCTGGGCACAGCTCTGCACAAAGTGAAACACCTCCTTGGAGGGAGAGTCAAGGTCATCAAAAAAGATACCCCCAATACCCCTCCGCTCCCCATGATGGGCTATAAAAAAGTCATCGTCACATCATTTTTAAAATTTTGGGTAGAGATCTGCACCATGTTGGTCACAAGCCTCCTTTAGAGTCCTATGAAAATGGACTGCATCCTCTTGGTTCAAGTATGTTGAGGTAAGGTCACATCCACCGCCAAACCACCACTGCTTGTCACCTACCAGATCAAGACGTGATTCTGATGTGGACTTTGAGATGCCAAGGAAATGTGTTATAATTCAGATGTCTGGGTATGGGGCATACTGGAGTCTCAGTAACAGGAAACACACTAGGAAAGAGTGAGCCGGGACTGGGCTAAGGTTTGGGATTCGAGGGAGAGACATGGCCATGGAGGTTGGCTCTCAGCAGGCTGTGGGAATGTCCAGGGTTTCTGATGAGTCCAGAGTTCTCAGCTAAATCCTCAAGGTTGGTCTGTAGAGCACACAGTCAAGGCACTGGCATCTGGACTGGCCAGAATGGCAGTTAACTGAGTGTTCAGTAGCCAACCAGGGGTCCAACACCTCTGGGGAGATCTGACAAAATGTAGCAGCACCTCTGCCAACTACTGTGTCCTCTGGTCCTAGCACCAAGTAGGTGCTCATTAACAATCTGTTGTGTGAACAGATGGGGAAAGAAATGAAAATAAAGTTCATATTTTGGGGACTGATAAGTACCAGGCAGGAATCTGCTTCCAACCTTTGCCCTAGACTCCTAACCAAACAGGAAGAATCTGGAGAGATACCTCTAGTGGTGGTTTTGTAGATTCCTTTGGGATTTCTACATAAACAATTATATCATCTGCAAATAGGAGCAGTTTTGCCTTTTTCTTTCTGATCTTTAAGCCTTCTACTTCATTTTCTTGACTTAGTGCAATGGCTCGAACCTCCAGTGTATTGTTGAATAAAAGCGGTAAAAGCAGACATCTTTGCCTTGTTCCTGATCTTAGGGAGAAATAATTCAGTCTTTCACCATTAAGTATGAAGTTAACTGTAGGTTTTTTGCAGATGTTCTTTATTTCTAGAAATTAATAATTGAATTTAGAGGCTTGATCAGATTGTGGTGTAATTTTTTTGGTGTGGGGCAAGACTACAAAGGTGTAATTTTATCAAGGGACATGTAATATTTGTATCTTTTTGTGATATTAGCAGCCATTGACGATTGTTGCCTATAGCAATTATTAAATTATAGGTTACAAACGGTTATGTTCTAATTTTGTTAATTTCTTCTTCATTTATTAACTGGGATACTACTATGGAGAAAATTTTCCTTCATAAACCTTCTGGTTACCCTGCTACGCAGTTCCTATAGGAAGGACAGAGAAATGCTTGATTGTTTTCTTTCATTTATCCATTTTCAGAATCGTGAATTGGTTCCATAGCATCTTCCAAAGGTGTTTTTAAAACATAAGCTATGAATTCACTATGTATTTCAGTCTATTTAGTCATTCTTATTGATGATAAATAATTGTGTACTTTTCTAAGTTCTTTTAGAATTTGGTATTTATCACTTTCCCTCTAGGTTTGTAGTTAGGTCTTCATTCTTTGTATAATCCATGTCTTCTGCTAAGATCTGACAATATAAATGCACTCTTGCTTGCATGATTAAGAACAGAAGGAAGATGTATTGAAAGACTTATTTCTAATATCTATGAATAAAGAATGGAACTGTTTGCCTCTGAATCACACTTCAGCTATATGGCAGCATATTCTAAGAAACCTTGGAAATTTGTGAATAAAACCATAAAATCAAACTTTTCTTTGACTGGAACCTACAGAACAAGCTTTTGGTGTCAAGGCTCTTATGTTAAAGGTGATATATGTCAGAATAGAAGTCATAATTTTAAATTTCTTGGAAAAAAATCAAGCATTGGAAAACCCTATATATTCCTGTATAACTACAGAGGAAAAAGTCTGACACATACTGTGTATTTTTGCTGTAATGTTAACTTCATGTGGTTTAGCTGTTTGCCTTGAGGCATGTGTACATAACCTTCTGAACACCCATTTAGCTTATAATATGCCAGTTTCCTAACAATTATTATTGTTCTAAAGTATAACATTTCACTGTTCAACATCAAATACGTACACAAAGGGAATTAAAATTTATGGAGTTTCCTGAGCTTACACAGTGTCTCTACATAGTAAGTGTCGAAAATGGTTTCTTTTCTGTTAGCTTTATTTTAATTTTTCCCCTGATTATAAAAATAATATTGCAAACATTTAACAAAATAAGGATCACCATAATCCTGCCCACAAAGTAATATATTAAATTGCATACCTAGATGAAGATCTAAGTGTAGATACTCACAAAGATCTTGAAGGAGATTTACATTTACTTTACCAAAAAATACAGGCAAGTTATTTCTGACAAAACATAGGTGATTTAAAAAAAAAAAAACTTTCACAAGTTTCGAACAGTTTGTATTTTTGGCAATGAGTGTATAATGTATGTGTATACATAATATACATATATGTGTGTATACATACATGCATGTGTATATGGGGGGCAGAGGAAGGGGGGGAAGGAGGAGAGGTGTACATATGCAGAGAAAATTTCTGAAATAAATGGCACCAACATGATTTAACAATTACCGATAACATTTTTAAGGGAGATTTGTTGTTAGTGCCTAATGTCTGTCACAGTACCTACTAGCCAAACAGAAAATGTGTGTTATATCAGTTTGTGTTGGTTTAACTTTCATGAATTTAAGAACTTTTGATTAAAATATATTCACTACCATATATAAAATAAATAACCAACAAGGGCCTACTGTATAGAAATTATAAAACAGTTTTTTGTGGTTATCCAGCAATGGAAATGAAACAGAACCCTAGGTGGTTCCTAGGTAGAGAGTCTAAATTCATGTATTATGTGAATAATTCCTATGAAAAAGGGGTTTCCTTTTATTTTTTTTTGTTTCCTTTTAAGATTAGACATGTGTTTCTTTAGTTTCTGTCAAATCTCTTTACTAAAATTACTAGATTGCTCGTAGAAATCATTTCATCCCTCACTGAATTATTCTCCAACATAACTACTTCTTCAGTGGTGCATAGGGGTGGTTTAATGCTAGTAAGACAAGAAGGATGTTTAGTACTGCCTTTCCTCAACCGTTCTTGGTTTCTTTGGCTTTCTAGGATGTGGAGAGCATCTTGTGCGCACCATACTGGCTAGAGAATGTTCACACGCTTTACAAGCTGAAGATGCCCACCAAGCTCTGCTGGAAACTATGCAAAACAAGTTTATCAGTAAGTATAACATTAAGAAAATTACTTCCTTGTAAATAGAGGTTGTTCCTCTGAGCTGTAAGCTTCATGAGTCAGGTGCCACATTTGTACTGCTAGACCTAGGTCCAGGGTTTAGCATGGACTTAGACCCTAAGTTAACATTGGCTGTGAAAAGAAATTCCATCAAAATAGCTACTACTGCATGAAATTTACCATATAACCAATGTAATGCCCAAGTTGTGAGACACTGTCCAGGATTAGAGTCATACACAGTGGAATAAAATTCTACTAAAACAAAATTCAAGGGGCAACCTCATTTAAAAGTTTTTCCGTAATACAATTTGACTCTTTTTTTAAAAAAGTTAGTGTTGTATTCATGAATCCAGTGCTGCCACACACAGTTGTCTAGGGTTGAGTTGAAATCTGGCCTGGCTCCATTTGCCAAACCCATATAACCTGATGTGAGGCTGCATCTGGTTGGAGGAAGGGATGGCTTTTTCTAATATGCAGGAAGATTTTGTGTAGCCTCGCAATGGCCCTGTAGATAACTGTTACTGTGGATTAAAACTGTTTGACTCGGGTTTTTCTCATCATTTAACATTGAGCTTACCACTATGGTAAAGGCTTGTGAAGTTGTATAAAAAATATAAAATGTAGTTAAAAATAAGGGGGACTTACCTGGCGGTCCAGTGGTTAAGACTCCGTGCTCCCAAGGCAGGGAGCATGGGTTCGATCCCTGGTTGGGGAACTAAGATCCCACATGCCACACAGCATGGCCAAAAAATAAAATAAATAAATGAATGAGTGAATGAATAAATAAATAAAATTGAATTAAAAAAAAAAAGACGCCTCCTCTAACTCCTCCCAGCAACCCTATCCCATAAAAAACAAAAAAACAAAAAAACCCCCCCAAAAAACAAGTTAGGGTAATAAGCCATGAACACATAAATGAGGGGAAGAGTATCACAGGGTTAACCTGGGGGGTGTCTCCATGTAGAGAATCAAGACAGGATAATATAAGGTGCTAATTATGTGGTGAGGACAACACAGACGAAAGTGTAGGAAGAAATCACCTGAAAAGGATTCATGGATGATGAACTCCTAGAACTGGCCCCAGGAGGCCGGGAAAGGTGGGGAAGAAAGGAGTGTGAGCACAGACATGACAGTGGGGTTAGGCGTGGTGAGGGCTCGACACCTGCATGACTCTCACCTAGAGGGAAGTGTTCCTGATGTGCAGCGGGGCTGGATCGGCCAGGTGAGGCCAGGTCCCGAGGACCTTAAAATCTCTGTGTAGGAGTTCATGTTCGATCTGATAGAAAGGAGAGAACCCTTATGTATTCTTAAGTTGATCAATAAAATGATGTTTTAGGGGAGGGTTTATAAAGTAGATCTCAGGTTGTCCAAGACCATCTCTATAGGAGACCGACATTTGGGGCTGGAGTGGTCCAGGCCATGGAGAGGAAATGGTGATTTTGAGGGAGGGGTCCATGGAGAAAGTGGAAATATTGATAGATTTTGCTGCTAGGAGTATGTAGCCCTCTGGGTCCAGTCAGGAGGTAGAAACCATACATTAGGTTAATCAGGAGGAGTTTAATATAAGGAATTGTTAACTATGATGAAAGAGTAACTGGAGGCTGTAAAGAAGCTCTCTGTGGTGCCCTAGATCTGAGAGTGTCCAGGGAAGGACATGCTTGGGAGGGGCTCAGACCTTGTTGGAGAAGGTGTGGTTCAGCAGGTAGCAGAGAAGTTCACTGGTTTGGCCTGGCTGGGACTGGTCTGGAGTTGCTGGGCAAACAATAGGCCACCCTCCGGAGTGCAGTGTAGATGGGGAACAGATAATCAGCACCTGGTGGCTGGGTATGCCGTGGGAGCCCAGCATCAAGGGGGCGTGCAGAGGACACAGAACTGCAGGACACACAGGCCACAGGGCCCCTGCAGAGGGGACGAATGCTCAGTGTGTGACCACCTGGTCCACAAGGTCTGTGTGCAGGCTGTGCAGGGCCTGGCCCAGGGAGTCCCGATGGGCACCTGTGTGTAACCATTGGGGACCTCTGGTTTCCATGTCGACAGGGCCCAGCCTGCCAGGTCACAGCAGGGCTGCGCCCTGGGCCTGTGTCTGGGGCAGACTTTACCAGATGTCCCACACCTACATTGACTCTTCTCCCCAGCCCATGGTGGACAGGTGCAGGCAGGGTGCCTGTTGTAACTCTTTTAATGTTCTCTAACTCGGTTTAATGCCTGACTCCTCGCCCTCGTTCTGTTAGTCCGCTCCACGTAAGCCTGGTCTCTCCTCGTTCTGTTAGTCCGCTCCATGTAAGCCTGGTCTCTCCTCGTTCTGTTAGTCCGCTCCATGTAAGCCTGGCCTCTCCTCGTTCTGTTAGTCCTCTCCATGTAAGCCTGGTCTCTTTTTACATGGCACTTTATATTTGTTTTGCTGCCATTTTGTCTTCGTTGGGTGGCATCTGGATTCCAGGGACTTTCTGTGTCACTGTGGAGGGACCATCTGGCTCATGGCCGCCCTCTTCCCTCTGTTGGCTTGTGCTGGGATGGGGCTCATGCTCCACCTCCCCATGGGTCACTGGCCTCTCTCCCTGATGAATTCACTGTGGTGTCTGTGGTCTTGTTGTAACCTCTGGCTTCTGCAGTACACATAGCATCCACTGACAGCAGATGCTAGTGGTAATGGGGTCAGGTGGTCTGAAAACATAGACTAATAAGGGGATTGTCAAGCCCTCTTGGCCCAAGCATATCAAGCTACTTTTCCACTCTATTCCTAGAGAGCCTTACCGGCCTGAAGGTGGCATGGCAATGGGCAACGTCCCTACCTGGCTTCCTGTTCCTTTAAGCCTCATCTGTTCTTGGATCCTCTGAATCTAGGGCTTTGTCACTGGCTCCTCTTTTTCTTCCACCCTCACCAGCTTGGGAAGAGGAACAGAAACCCATACCAGGAATCAATGCTTTTCTTCTAGTTTTCCCAAAAATGTCAAGGTGTCCAGTCACACCCCTACCCCAGCCCTACCCTTAGGATACTGGTGGGGACCTGGCTAAGCAAGGGTTGTCCCAAACTATTTGCCAAAATTTAGGCTTTACCTGTTTAAAACGCTTTTCATCTCAAAGCTGTCTCTACTTAGAATTTATGAAAATCCACTCAAGGATAAAATATAAATTTTATAATATAAGCATGCAACTGATGGGATAGATGGGGCATTCCAGGGATGGGAATAAAACTGAATTACTGGACTTCCCTGGTGGCGCAGTGGTTAAGAATCTGCCTGCCAATGCAGGGGACACAGGTTTGAGCCCTGGTCTGGGAAGATCCCACATGCCGTGGAACAACTAAGCCCGTGCGCCACAACTACTGAGCCTGCGCTCTAGAGCCCGCAAGCCACAACTGCTGAAGCCCGTGCCCCTAGAGCCTGTGCTCCTCAACAGGAGAAGCCACTGCAATGAGAAGCCTGCACACCACAACAAAGAGTAGGCCCCGCTTGCCGCAACTAGAGAAAGCCCGCCTGCAGCAGCAAAGACCCAATGCAGCCAAAAATAAAAATATATAAATAAATACATAAATTTATTAAAAAAAACTGAATTACTTCCTCAGATTTATAAGCATTGTTGCTTAGGCCTATAATACGTATTATGCCCTCTTAGGAAAGATTTTTAGGGTAGAGAGAGAAAGAAAAACAGATTATAGGCAAGAAACAACTGGATTTATCTGAAGGAAGAACAGAGTGAATAACTAGAAAACATTTCAATATGAAGAGATTTTATACAGGTGCTTTCTTCCAGTTATTTGACCTGAGGTCATGAAAACATAGATAACGGTATGAACTACATGCATGCTGGTAAGAATCACTTGATGGCAAATTGTGAGCTGAGGAATGCATTAGGAATGGACTTTGAGGTCTGCCTTTGGTGATCTTTCAGAAAAAGGTTGATGATGTTCATGTTACTACAGCTTCAAATATATCAGAATCAGACTTGGGTCTCCTTGTTCTTTTGTTTTAATAATTACCATCGTGGAATGCTGTTTTTAAGGGAAACCAAATTCTTGGCCTGAACAGCCTGTGTAATTTATGTAATTTGCTATTAGTTGCCCAGCTATACCAGTTTCACCAGAGGTGAAAACTCGACACTCAGGAGAAGTTCACTTCCTGGGAACCCTGCAATGGGTGTGTGATGACGGCACATGGTAATTTTCTCCTTGTTGAGAGTGACCTGAACTCTTTACTGTGTCTGAAACCACAGATTCACTAGCTAGTTGTACATCTCCAGATTTGGGTCCATGCTGAGGAGTTCCTGAGCTCCACTCCTTTCTCTTCTGATGCTTTGTTGTCCTCTTTGTATAACTCTTGAAACTCCTCAGAGAGTTGGGCTGTAGTACTTCATTTTTCCACTGGATCCCATGACCTAATGCATATTGAACACTCATCTTAAAAATTCCAGACTCTTGGAAAGGAATCAGAAATTTCAGAACTCATCAACCCTGCTCACTAAATCGTTGAAGAAACTTATTTTGCAATAGTTCAGTGACTTGTCCAAAGTCACCTGGTTAGTCAGTGGGTGTTCATTCTGCAAGGTTACACTGCCCCCCACCCCCCACCTTTTTAAGCAAAATAAAATGTGGAATACAGAAAAACAGTGTCCTGGGAGTTAAGACAGCTGAGTTCCACTCTTAACTCTGTGTCTGACTCACTGAATCTATCAAGTTACTTAAGTTCTGTTTTGTTTTCTTAAAAAAAAAAAAAAAAAGTTAGACAAGAGACAGTTTCTAAATTCCTCCACCATGCTAAGTTTTATGAATTCTGTACCGTATTACACTTGTAAATATGTGGTTCTTTTTAATCAGGTGATTTGGGATTGGAAAAGCAAAAATTTCTGGGACCACTTGGGAACTATCAAGAAGCATGGATGATATTTACAAAGTGATTAGAATGAAATAAATTGAATTTACCAGGGACCTGGATGAGAAGCAAGGTCTGGTTCTTTCCTGTTTTAACAGTGATGAAATTAGTTGTTGGTTT